ATGATTAGACCTTTCTAGTTTGGAGACCTGTAGTTGCTAATAACGACCCAATTCTCTGATAGATTAATATCTCATTGTCATATACCTTCTCTCTTTATTTTTTTTTTATATCAATCAAGTAGACTGGAGTTACAATAATTTGCTAGAGCATGAAAACTTATTTTCTTTTTACCTCTTGACCCATAAGATGGTATTGGAGCGTGAACTTGTGGAGTTGTTTTGGAATTGATCTAAATAACATATAACATATTATCGTCCTGATTATTTGAGTAATATCTACTTTATATCCGAATCTAACATAACTAATCTGCGTTCTGTATGGGAATTTCTAGAATCTCACTCCCAAAAGCTTAAATGTGATTTTACAATTGCTATCAAATAATAATTATTTCCCTTGTTGATAAGTATAGAAGGTACAAATGCTGGTTTGCTGTTGTGCTGAGTAACGGTGAAAATAAAAAAAAGAAAACAATGTGTTACTTAAATTTACAAACATTATCCGGTTTGATTACAAGTATGTTTGAAGACAAAATAACATAATTAATTTTAATATTTGTAAACATCAAAGATTGTCTTTAAATCTAAAGGAACTAAAACCCCTGATCGTTGTCTCTTCATTGAACTTCATTGCAGCGAAGCAGTTCTACTTCGGAAAAAGGGAGATAACCAACTTCAAATTATTAAAATTCGTAGTTCCAGAAATGAGTTTCTGGAAAGGGCTATACTAGTTTTTTTATCAGTAACTCTTGTTAATGCGATATAGTCATCAAACAAACATAATATTACAATCTTCCTAGTATTATACAGTGTTAATACATTTGATATTTCAAATGAAAACACTGTTAAGGATGTTCGCTACTATGTAAGCTTTTTAAAAGACTGTTATAAATTGATAGTATATAAATAATGAAACTAAATAAGCAGTTAAATTGAAGGGTCCGTGTGCTTGTTTTCGAGATATAAGCCATTGAAAATTTGGCGGGAAATATTTCTCTCTAGATTTTTCATACATTTAACATTGACACCTTTTTTCTTTCAAAAACGATGAAAAAATAACAAGGATTTTATAATATTTTCAAAGATGACATTTTTAAACTGTATGTAGTAATCAAATTATGGAAAGAAAAGTAGGGGTTAGTGGGCAAAATTTTTAATGGCACTACATGGAAAAAACCAGAGGATTCCGAATATCTGGCAAAAATTTAAAAACAAGAGGAGCGAACATCCTTAATTAAAAGTTCTGTTTATACTTGACAAATAGTCAGAATATAAAACACTAGTAAGAAGCAGTTCTGTTATTAAATGACGAATAGTCAAACTTAATAAAGAAATTGAATCCAATAGTCGTTTTTCGTTTTTCGTTTTTGTTTAATCAATATCGAAAACGAAAACACTTCCGGTTTTTTTAAGATATCAAAAACAAAATTAAAACACTTTCATTTTTTTTTTTTTTTTGATCTTCGGTTTTGATTTCTAAAAACGAAAAATGAAGGGATGTAAATATAAACGGACATACTACGCCTATTTCTATGATAAGAAACAAACGTTTAGTAGTTGCAAAGTGGTTTGTGTTCGTATCGACGGACAACGCAGCCATAAATGTGATGGTGGTATGACGTTAATACTTCATGGACGTTCTTACGAAAGAAATTATATTTGTTTCTGCATTTAGGTCAGTGCGCTCTATAGAGGATAAGAGTTAACAATTACATCATTCCCACATCTCAGTTTTATGCCATTCTGAACATTTGAAGGTCCCTTCTATGTATTGGTAACGTAAACTATACACAAAAAAAACCCGTTAAATATGATTATTCAATTATTTCGGCATCCAGTAAGTGCTCTTCAACTTATGTTTCAGTACGTTTATTTAGTGCCTTAACTTTTATCAAATAACGTATCAGTAACTTTTGAAACTTTAAACTGTAATTAGATCTTTGACTATTTTTTTTATCGGTATCATTATTGATTTTGTTATCAATAAATCCAAACATAATTAATTATTTTTGCTATACAGCTGTGAACCTTCACGGTCCTACATTCTACATGTTCTATCGATACCTATTTTGCCATTGCAAACGATCGTGTTCTCTTTCTTTGGCCCTAGATTTCGTCTTAAAATCTTAATTCATTTGATGAGTACTACTTGTTATAAAAAAAGTAAAATAACAATAATACCGAACTCCAAGGGAAATTCAAATCGGAAAGTCCCTTATCAAATGGCAAAATCAAAAGCTCAAACACATCAAATGAATGGAAAACAACTGTCATATTCCTGATTTGGTACAGGCATTTCCTTATGTAGAAAATTGTGGATTAAACCTGGTTTTATATCTCACTTGTATGACAGTCTTAGACACCTAATTTAGATTTTATTGGTTATGAACTAGTTTTCAATAACTATGAATACTTTCAGATATGTACTGTTTATCGTTTTTTCTTACATGTATATTGATCTCTTACACCACTGTTCCAGGTTAGGGAGAGGACCGGGTTTGGTGCCCACACACATGTTAACCCTCGCTACATTCTATATGGTACAGTCCCAAGTCTGTCAGGAGCCTGTTATTGATTGTTTGTCATGTGTTGCTGTTTATCCTATTTGTTTTTTCGTTTATTGTTTTATAGATATAAGATGTGGTATGAGTGCCAATGAGACAGTTTATTTTCGTGATTTCGCACCACTGTCCCATGTTATGGGAGGGTTGGGCGCCCGTCTACATGTGTAACACCGACACATTATGTATGTGCGAATCCCAAGTCGGGAGTTGGTAATTCAGTGATTGTCGTTTCCTACTGCATATCATGTTCGATTTTCGTGTATTGTTTTGTTACCCCTAAGGGTGACTGGGGAATATAAATATTGTTACTCTTGGTCTTTTTCCGACTGGCAGTAAAACCCTTGCCATAGTGGGGTGTGGGATGTACATGTACGCAGCCGCGTCCGGTCAGAATGGGCATTTTAAATCTAATGCTTCGTGTAGAAAGAGTGCTACGCTCTCTTCAGGTTAAGAACCCTTGCAACAACTTTTTGAGGGATTCGTAGGTGGCCTATCGCAAGGCAAAATATCTGTCCCTATCCAATATACCCTCCTTTTCCAGTGGAAGACTATCATTCCGGACGGCCTCCGTTACAGGACCTACCTATTGTATTGTTTTGTTAAATTTTGTTTCTCTTGAACATGCATGAACTATTTCCCACTGGACGTTAAGCAACCACCAATCATCAACCATAATGTTTTGTACATGAATCAGGCCGAAAGTTTTTTTTCTTTTGAGTTTTTTTTTTTTTTTAATGTGTCACGTCGTGGTCTTTGAAAGCTTGCTATGCAGAATAAGGTACTCTCATTTTGGAAGGCTGTACGTGCTTAATTCCATTTTATCTTATTACGAGTTGTCTCAATGGCAGTCATACTACATCTTATTTTATATAAATCATTTTGAAGTAGTTGATCGCCATTGGTTTTAAAACGCGTCCAATATAATGTGGATATACATTTTATAATTCTTTGATATAAATGTCATACAAATCTAGCTAGAATTGTATGATGAGGGCGTTGACAAGATCGGACATTTGATGATGTTTCTTTTTTTGTTTATCATATGGCAAAAACAACAGTTATTGAAATTAATCAGTTGATCATAATGTTTAATATATAGATTTTCCTTTCTTTCATTCATTTTCTGCCATGCAATTGAACAGTATACTTATGACTTTTATACACTGCATCTATGTATGGCATTAACATGTTTGTTATTTTTTGGTTTTTCAACAATGCTTCTGCTTTTCTATAATTGGGTCTGAGGGAACAATGGTTGCATTACTCATTTACTAACTGTGTTATTAACTTACAATTAAGTATTGTTTTGTTATTGTTATTGTTAGTGGATTTAATTAGATTTACAGAACAAAACCTCCGCTTTTGTAGTATACTCCCCTTATTTATTGTTATAGTACATCTACTACATACAAATAGACATGGAAGTGCATTTAAACATCCCATACAAACAGACGTGATAGTGTATTTATACATCCCCTACAGACACACGTACATGGTATTTTCCTTTTTCATCCCTATGCCAAAATGACGTGGTATCGTGTTTTTAAATTTCCTGCAGACAAACAGACGTCGAATAATGATGGTGTATTTATACATCCCCAACAAATAAATCGATGTGGTGGTGTATTTATACATCCATACAGAAAAATAGACAGAAGGACGTATTAGTGTATTCATACTCTCACAACGTATTACATACCTAATATCAATGTATGAAATTGACTGGATATTAATAAATGTTGGAAAAAAACAAGGTGCTATGGTTTCTAAAATGATCTTAGATCTGATTAAAACTGTTCTAAACTTCAGAAAAAAGCTAGTTTCCTGTACAGACAAAAATAATGTTCTATTTGATGTATTAACCCTATAAAACTGTTAAAACCAACATTTGCACGACATATATTTTTTTAATATTCCGCCTCTCATTTATTGATAAAACAAAACTTAGTGAACCCCAGAAATATTATAATAAAGTATAATATACAGTCAAATAAGAAAAAATACACAATACATCTAATACTTAGAGACACCACTTAATTTAATGTGATGGTCAAATTATGTTCCCATTGGCAGACTTGTGCTTTCATCTTAAGGAAAGTCACACTATTTTCTTTTGAATCATGGTACATGTACTAAAAAACAGAATTACATATCGGATAATAAATTTTCTTTATCAAGACAAATTGAAAGTTTCTAATTATTTGGGAGTAAATACTTTTTTCTTGAGCAATTAAGTGAGGAAATGAACATGTACAACATGTATGTACAGTCTACTATTAGTACCTATCATTTATTTATTATTTCTAAATTCTGCAGACCAAAAAGAACAATTCTAACAAATCAATAAATGCAATGTTATTTAAAACACTTATGTATTAAAGTGGTTCACTATTAAACAAAGTACTTAGTACAATGTAAATATATAATATCGAATGTTACCTTAGATGTTTTAACCATGGGATCCATTCCTTTTTCTTTAATCAGCCATTGTGTCAACTCCAAATTTCCAATCTCAGCTGCCAAATGTAATGCTGTTTTACCTTCCTTTAATGACAACATATAAAAGTCTGTAAATATTATGTGATAATCTGAAAAATATTGTGTTTTGAGTATTAATGAATACAACACCACATTTAAAAAATCATTTAATACATCAAAATTAAAGAACAGTGCAATTCAAAACACTTTTTAAGTGATTCACTATTAAGGATAGCACTACGTTTCTAATGGAAAATGTTACCTGCAATGTCTTATCCATGGGATCCATTCCTTTTTCGTTAACAAGCCATTGTGTTATCTTCAACTCATAATATCTATTCCCAGCTGCCAAGTGTAATGCTGTTTTACCTCCCTATAATGACAACATACAACAGTCTGTAAATATTATGCGATAATCTTGGAAATATTGTATCTTGAGTATTTTTTAATACTGCACGACATTTAAAAATCATATACTAAACAAAAAGAACAATGTAAATCAAAACACTTGTTAAGTGATTTATTATTAAGCATAGCACTACGTATGACATCATATAACATTCTGAAAATGTTTGGGATAATCCTGGGAATATTGTGTCTTGAGCATTTCTAAATTATGCTGAACATTTAAAAATACATTCTAAACAGGTCCGTGAATATTTGCGTCCATTTGTTTTTCGTTTTAAGAAATCAAAAAAGATAAAAAGAAGGTATTTTCGTTTTTCGTTTTTCAAATCTCAAAAACAAAAATGAAAAACGAAAGTGTTTTTGTTTTTCATATCTGATATAACATAAAAATAAGAAGAAAAACGGCATTTTATATGTCATTTGAATTTAGACAATGCAATCAATTTGAGTTTCAAACCCATGGAAATTGAAATATGTCAAGGTAGCTTTTTTTATTTCAACGTAGCTCGTTTTCATTTAAACAACAGCAGCACTGAAACGCTTTGTAGATGTAGACAAAATAGACCGACTGACTTATGAAATGAGATGAGGTGATACAGTAAACAAAGACTGCCAAATTATTCAATTTTTATCTGTGATAAGAACTACAAATAATAAATTTAAGTATTAAATAGATTAACAATTTAAAATAAACAAGAACATATACTGCAAAGAGGATAGTACAAAACTGATATATATATATATTGTATTTACTATATCGCATTAATAGAGGAGGTAACTACTGAAAACTAGCCCGACCGTTAAAGTATACAGAGCATTTATATGGAACGCCATGACTGCCTTATGTTGATGATCATCATTATATGCAGTGGTCACATCATTATATGCAGTAGTGACAGCATTATATGCAGTGGTGACAGCATTATATATAGTGGTCACAACATTATATGCAGTGGTCACAACATTATATGATGTTGTCGGAATATTATATGCAGTGGTCACAACATTATATGCAGTGGTCACAACATTATATGCAGTGGTCACAACATTATATGCAGTTGTCGGAACATTATATGCAGTGGTCACAACATTATCAGTGATAGTGATGATGATGACTGATGGTGATGATTGTTGCTGATGATTGATGATAGTGATGGTGGTGGTTACAATTCGGTAAACTTCGTAAATTTTATCGGAAATTGTCGACCCGGTCATAATTGATAATAATGCCCCGCAAACAAAATGAAAGTTATTGAAGTCATGTTGTTTAGGCAGTTCGATTAAAAACTTTATCAGAGAAAAAATAACATCTGTTGTTGTGTGCAAATTGGACACACATTAATTTATCCATTTAGGGGTAGTTCATTCCGAGTAAAATCAAGGTCTAATATATTAACTCTCTATTAATAATTAATGTCCAATGTGTTGTCATGACTGTACGCCAAATTGATTACTCGGAGTCTCCTCTTTTCGATGTCTAATATAATTTCATTTTTTTTGTTATTTTCTCTAAAGTAATCGTTTAGTTTTCGTATAACATGTATAATGCTGTTCAATTACAATTTTTTTTTTAATATTTCATACATATCATGATGATTTATGTAAAAGAACAATAAAAGGATAAAACATCCCGTCGCCAAGAATGAACTAAAACAAAATATAAAAAAAAAAAACGAACACGGAAAAATAACAACAGGTCAACCACTGACAGCAGATTCTATGAACAGTTATATTTTCTGTACAAGAAACGCGTTGATCCACTAAATCTACTTACTACATGTATGTTTTATTCATTTCATATTCATATGTTTTATTCATTTCATATTCATATGGAGAAAAAGGAGACGTGGATGTACGACAATTAGACAGCAACCTTACGAAAAAGATAACGGTACAGTACTGGAGTCATATGGTCGGCAACAATAGACAGCTATCTAAACAATTTATAACTCTGAATTGAAATAAGGAAATTAAGAAATATGACCAATTTACCCCGAACTTATTCCACGCTAGGGACATTTTTAATGTCTTTTAATCTTATTTCAATAATCAGTATCATCATAGCTTAATATGTTTATACTTTAAGTATTTAAAAACATACATTATTGCGCATTTCTGAACATTTAACCCCAAATGAACATCTTCAGATTACTCGGGACTGTCATTTAAATATATCATGACTAGTATTTTTCCAGAAGAAACAAACATCTGTCAGAAGGAAAATATGAATGGTATTTTGGAAACAAACTCATCTATGTTGTTCAGCGATGTCATTCGAAATACAATTTTACTAAAACAAATAAGATTTGCAACACTGTTTCAAAAGGGCATGGAACAGCAATGTTTAGTGCAAAATAACTATTTTATGAATGGAAATCTGTTTTAAGTATATAATTAGGACTATGCAATATATACAAATTCATTAAGTTTCGACATTTTTCCAATGTTTACCCCGTGAGCGAAACATATACAGGAGAACGGAGCCTCACGTCTTTAACAGAAACAATCAAGACTTACCAGAAACAGTAAACTTTCCAAATAACGAAAAATATTCAGATATAAAATTTTACAACTTCTGACTTGGATCCTAAAATGCATGAGATATGGAAATAGTTTTGTTAGCAAAAATAACTGAAATCCCCAGACTATAGCAAAAAAACAAGCTTGTATATGAGAAGAATAAGAAAGCCAATAACAACAACGAGAAGAATTTACAGTAACACAATAGTTCTCCATTAAGAGACATGATAACGAGTGGTAAGTTTTTTGTTGTTGTAGAGTTTATATAAGTTAAAGCTGGCCTAGTATGGAAAGTCAAAGGTGTCATAATTCCAACTTTGCAATTCTTAAATTGTATGTATGTAACTCGGTAATTTTAAAATTCCAACTTTGCAATTCGTAATTTGTTACAGTGCAATTTGACAATTGAATGTTTGAGAATTGCAATTAGAACTATGTAATTCAAATATCTGATTTTGATTTTCCTTCATTTATTGCTACATGGTACATTTGTGACATGTACTTTCGTATTTTGTATATTATGATAACAGATGGCGCCGCCGTCGGAACTTTCGCTGCTGAATAACTCGGCCTTAAACAAACTCGGCCTATAAATACGCGGACTATAAGAGGAATATAAGTCAGATAGACGATGTTATTTACTCTATTTGAAATTATTTATCAATGAAATTAGTAATATTATTTTTCTTTCACCAGAGTACAAAGAATCCTATATGTGCCTGTCAAAAGTCAGGAGCTTGTAGTTCAATGGTTGTCGTTGGTCGTAAATTGTTTTGTTATAAATTAGGCCGTAAGTTTTCTCAATTAAATCGTTTCATATTTTTCATGTCGGGGCCGTTTATAGCCGACCATAAAGTATGGGGTTTTCTCATTGTTGAAGGCAGTACGGTTGACTATAATTGCTTACATCCACTTCGGTATTTAGCTGTGGTGGATAGTTATCTCATTGGCAATCATACCACATCTCCTTATGTATTATATTCTATTCTATTCGAAAATGCTGTGTTAGAAATGACCGATCGTGCGAGACGATCATTGGTAGTCAAGGACGTTAAACACCCCCCTAGTGTTAGAAATTATCGCAATTTTCGAAATAACCGTTAGAAACCTTAAAACTCATAGTGCTCGGCTTTTACGAAACTTTGTTTACTTTTAACTCTTTCGGGAAAACAGATCGTGAATAAATTCCTGTGGAGGCGTATATGCTTTTATTTTCCTTCTGTGTCTTATATAAAAATATGCAAGCGGGGTCGTGCTAATATGTCAGTTTTGTTGTAAAACATAAAAATATAATGTCCTCAGCCGCACTTAGTTTAATTATGGAAGTATTATATATATTTCATTTTACTTCCATGTTTTAATGGTGATTGAAAAGATGTCAACTGTACACTGTACACATGCCATTAATTGGATTAAAGGTGATTTAAAAGGTAAATTGTTTAGTTATAAATTAGGCCGTTAGTTTTCTCAATTGAATTGTTTTTTCATGTCGGGGCCTTTTATAGCCGACCACACGGTATTGATTTTTGTCATTATTGAAGGCCGTATGGTTGCATATGATTGCTTGCATCCACTTCATTTTAACTTTGGTGATAGTTGTCTCTTTATTATTATATTACAATGGTACATGCAGGAGCTGGGGAGGGATGGGGCACCATGGTTTTTTTTTAATTGTTCAGATATCTGAACATGATCATGGATGGTTTGGTTGGAGGCTTTATTTTTTTGGGGAGGAAGGGGAAGTGGGGGGGGGGGGGGGTGGGGGGGGGGGGGGGTGGAGGTAGGCTTCATTTCTGTGATTTATTCTTTGGTTTGTAAGCAATATTTCTCTATAATAATTTTATATTTAAGCACCACTTTTTCTCTGCTCTAGTTTATAAGATAGCGCTCCTTCATTCTCTATTCCTTATATGGCAATTGCAACAAGAAACATATGCATACATTTGTATGTTTTATTTGGTAAGTCTAATAGAAACTACAATAACATGTTTATGACGGATACGACATTGTGTTTAAATAAAACCGTTCTGTTTCTGTACGTTATTGAAAAAAAAAACGTTTTAAATTAAATCGAACAAATGTGTGTTTCGAGAACACTACCCATCCAACAAACAAACAAAATATGAATGGTCGGCGCCTTAATCATGCAGCAAGACATTTGTTTTAGATTTCTCCTTGGATACTGTTTTACTACCTTCTTTGTCTCATCGTTGTTCAGTTAATTTATATCACTCGTCTCTCCGTACTCGCGGTGAGCGTTTTGTTATATGTAACTGAATTAGACATATCCATGTCAATATCAACAACAATAACACAGTCATGTTATTAATTGACACTAAGCAAATTTTTTACCTAATATTTAAAGACGTATTTTGGTTTGGCAATTTTTTCCTGAACACTGAAGAAATAACATGAGGTGTCAACATTACACACGTACGTGGTAGT